CGGGACCATTATATCGCATGATGTAGTGAAGTCCCTAAACCCTAAACTCTAAACCCTTCAACCCCTAAACCCCAAACCCTCTAAGCCCGCCATGAGTTTGAGATTTCCTCTGCCGGGCAGGACTCCTCCATAGGCACATACATAAATACGTGCTGACAGGCATAGCGACATAGAGAGAGGTATCCCAAACAGAGGGACTGAGTGATCAGAGGATGTGGAGGATGGGAGAGAGTTTTACCCCCACTACCACCGTCCTTCTTGATACCGATGCCCCTGCTTCTTAAAAGCTCTCCGATCCCGAACACGTAATGCCAATCCTCCGGCCCAAACCAACAAAAGTCCGATTCGCAACCCAGCTTGGCGGATAGGCAGCAAACAAGATCGCCAAGATTCCCTAAACCCTAGACCCTAAACCCTAGACCCTAAACCCTAAACCCTAAACCCTACACCCTAAACCCTAGACCCTAAACCCCAACCCGTTTGTTGCAACCGCAGGCTGAGGTCTCACACGAGGCTTGGCCTGAAGGCGAGTGCCTTCCTGTACGTCTACCAAGTGGGTGGTTGTCAAAATTATGGTCCCTTTTTGGGTCCTTATTATAATACGGCACCTATTATTTAGGGTACCCCAAAAGGGACCATAATTTTGACAACTACCCAAGTGGAGGCCATGACGTCAACGAGCCGCAACACGTGGAACTGGACGATTCTCAACCCGGGTTTAGGTCTCCAGGTTTTAGGGTTTAGGGTTTAGGGTTTAGGGTTTAGGGTTTAGGGTTTAGGGTTTAGGGTTGATGATTCTAAGTTCTGAGGTCGAGTGCGCGAGGGTGTAGGCTTCGGGGTTGACAGTCTGTGCGGGGGGTTATGGTCGGGGGGGCCGGGGGTGGGGCTAGCATCAACGAACGGGTTGCGGATGGTGTGCCACCCCGTTGTAGCCCGTGAACTCGTAACCCAGCACTGGCGGGACACGAGGAAGAAATCCCAGTATCGACTTCACGATGGGATGCCGAACCTGCAGAGCTGAAGCGTGCGCCGCCCCCTGCACGAACTGGGCCAGCGCAACCATGCAAGCCACCAGATCTCCCGACTGGCAGGGGACGGCCCTTCCAGAGGCCAGCAGCGCCAAGAGGCGCACGGTCTCCCTGCGCCAGCTCCACACCAGCTCCGGAATATCCACCACGACACGTTTCGGCCCGGGAGGCTCTGGATCGTCGATGCGGTAGTCGGCGCCATTTTCCAGAGCCCGGGCCACGATGTCCACCCCATCGGGGTGATCTAAGGCGCCCGCCACCGCAAGGTCCTGCACCAAGGAGTGGAAAGTACTGACCCGGCCGATCTGCCAGATCTTCCATTTCATGAGGTTCCTCTTCTTGCATCTCTATGGAGAGAGAGAGGCTCGCGTGCTATTAGTCTTATGTTGACGACAAGAAAAAGATTGAAAACCTGCTGCTTCCGGCAACAAGTCCAGGGAATGGCATCCCACCTGGCCCCAGTCTCCTCTGCCATCGTCAACCATTTCCTGGGCTCTTGCTACAGTAAGGGATGCATTTCAAGTTACTACAGTAGGGATCTATAGCAAATCACAGGGTGTCTTTGTTATGGCAGCTTAAGCTAAATCCCTCAAACAAGAAGAAGCCCTACACACCCAACTCCAATACCTAAGCCACTTAACCCCCTTTGAAACCTCCAACCAGTACCCAGTTTCCCAGAGATCGCCTCCCCAACTCGCTGCTCCGCGGCCAAAGCGCTGAGCAGAGGAAGAAAGGCTCCCTGGGACTCAAAAATCTCGTCCTCCGCCCGCGTCTTCCTGGGGGTTTCCGAAAATAGAGGACCCTAATATAGTACCCCAAATAATAGGATCCTTATTATAAGGACCCCAAAATAAGGTACCCCTAATTTTCGGAAACTCCCTCCTCGAACCGTTCCACAAGAGACCCGGCTGTGGATGAGTCTCCAGCACCTTGCGGGCATAAGCCAGTGCGGCCTCCGGCGACATCGTGGTCTTGTGCTTTGGGTTTCTTCTCAACGCCAAGCGGGGGATCTCCTCGAAGGGGGTCTGGCTCCAGCCGTCCAGGGAGGCCCAGTCGGCCCCGTGCGCCATCGCGAGATTGATGAGGGCATCCCCTGTCGGCGTTCCCAAGACGCCCCAGCAGATTGCATCGCGAACCAGCTCGGAGAAGATGTTCCCACCGCCCTCCAACATGACTCCCATGACATTCTGCAGCCGACACTCTGCCAAAGATCTCTCCAACAGTTCCATGGAAGCAGGCTCGTCCAGAAGCTCGGCATCCAGGAGCAGAGGCACCATGGCCTGGAAGGCGACTTCATTTCGATTCACATTCAAGTCCTCCCCGGGGTCCCAGCGCGCGCCCGTTCCCACGGCGAAGTCCACGAGCTCCCGGCCCAAGGCCAGATTCACGGCGCGGAGCTCGATGAGGCCGCGGAGCAGCTTCAGGAAGCTGGGAACTGTCCACTGCGCGCCCAGCTCGGACACGGCCCTTCGGATCGTCTCCACGCCCGAAGCAGCGGCCAAGGATCCGGCCTTCCTCAAACCCTCCAAGAGAGCATCGAAGGGAGTCGTCTTTCGGTACTTGGCAACGGCTATCTCCTGGTTCAGGTCTACTGCGGCCACTTCCAGGAACCTAGTGAGGTCCCCGTCCTCCTGAAGCTGCAACAACGCCTTGATCACGCTGTCATTCGGGTCTGGCGCTTCAGGGGCGTGGGCCATCCCTCGCCCCCTGCCTCTGCCAGCCATTGCACCTTACCGGCCCGAATGGTTCTGAGGCGCACCAAAACCCTAAGCCCTGCGCTCCTTTTTTTGAATCCGGGCTCTGATCACCAGCTGCCCTACACCCTAAGCCCTGCGAAACAACCGGCACAGGGTGCTCGAGAGAAAAGGAGCCGAGGACAGGCCTCTGGCCGGTTTCAATGCATGAAACGGGGGGCCGGAATAATTGGACAATGGGTGTTGTTGGCTTTGTGAATCTGCTGAGGGACGAGGAATACTATCAAGCCCGCATGGTACACAGATCACTGATTACAGGTGGGCTGGCCTCCCTTGAAAGCGGATCGGTCAGCACGGCTCGAAATGCCTGGGCGCGGCTGGGCTGGATAACAAGAGAGAGCTCATTGAGTTTGGTCTGTTTTGGTGGTTGGGGGCTTACTGTAGGGTTTACGATTTCAGGGTTCGGCGCTCACACTCGGACTCCCCCAGGCGAGGCATGTGGCAAATTCTCATATGTTAGCTGGGTCTGTGATGGATGCAAGGAGAAGGCGGGTTTGCTACAGCAACATCCCACAAATAACAACCTGTCAGGTCCCAAACATTGAAAGAGGATTCTGTTCTGTAGGCTTTGAGGAGTCCTCTTCGTATGGATGCCCCCCATACAGTCACTACTAAGTAAGGGAGCTTCGGGTGAGAAGTATGACGTCTGAAGGACAGTACACACTTGTTGCAGGGACGGGCTACTGCAGGTAAGAAACGGGCTGACTGGGTGCCTCGGTTTTATGTTTGGGGGGGAGGGGGGGTTATACGTGAATTTGTCGAGGGAATGCATGCCCGGCTTGCAATCAACCCAAAAGTTAACAATGGGCAAAAAGAGTGCCTGGGATGTATTGCTACAAACCGACAAGGATAAACCACGATCCTAGGTGCGCTGTCGCCCTCAGATGATCTTCCCCGATCACCATACGAGTACCACATTAGGCATGATGGTGTATGCTCGCTCTCGCGACTCAATCAGACGGCGTCAGATGCTTCCCGTAGGTCCAGCCTCTATTGAATTCTGAGAAGTGGAGACATGGCAGTCTGCTGTATCAATCGCATTCCACAAGCGTCCAACTAAGGAGCCCAGACATTTTGACATCTGAATCATGGCAACCCCGATCCACGACAGAGGGCTTACACTCTCACCGGGCAAGTCCAGATGAGGTCTCGAGGTCTCGCAAGTCTGCTAGGGTCTCCAGCTGTAACAAAAGCTGAGGGGAAAAGCCCATGCTGTGGCTCACTACCGACTCCAACCTCGTGTGCGTGAAACCCCAAAAGCCCCAAACCCCAGAGACCAGGCCTCTATCCAAGAAAGCGGACTGATCCAGGATGCCCAATCTCGAATTCCACACAGCGAAATTTCCGCTACCGTGCTGACTGGGCGAATGTCTCTGTTGACATCTTAGCAACTGCTACGGCACCGGCATCGCGGCAGTAGTCCAGGCAAGCAAACCTTAAATAGCACACGTAGGAACATGAAGCCCAAGATAAGAAACTGTAAAGCCTGTTGCGGTTCGGTATTGGGACGTACTTGCGTCTTGACTTGGGGACTGCAAACTAACAGCTCACATTGAGTTGCGAGGCAGTCGTGAACATAAGGAGCTCCAAGACGAACCATTTGATAAGCTGCAGCATGGCGTAGCCCACATCCTAATGAGCATGTCGACATCTGGCCCTGCGCAGAATGTCTCCGCTCGGAACGTTTGGGAAGTCCTACGTAACTGCACAGTTTTTCGCTGATCTCACAGCATTGGCTCCAAGTGATCGCCAAGCTTTATCATCCTCGCCTCAATCACCCGCTGTATCGCGACTTCGAGGGTCATGTTGTATCCGCCATGAGGCATTATAGGCGCTGGCACTGTGAGCTTGCGTTGGACCTCGACTTCACATCCAGGTGACCGCTTCTTTACTTGCTCGCAACATGACCATCCGGCTGCTGTGCCACACTTGTAGTGCCCGGGGTGATACCTTTCAAGTTCCGGGAGGCTGTCGTCGAGCATTTCTTGGACGACATCCTCTCGAAAGTCTCTCGTGTTTGCGGGAGGTTGTGAAGAAGGTGGGGGTGATGTTGGCAAAGCGGAAGCCACTCTCGCTCCCAGTTCAGGTTGTCAGCAATGCCGGCACACCTACACTGGAGAAACGCCCGCAGGTGCTCTTGAGCCATAGTCGCGGGGCGTGACCAAAGCCCCACCAAGTTCAGGACGAGAGTCATGGATTGAATGCCAGCCAATAGGCGCTCCAGAAGCTCCCAGGGCAAGGCACAAATCAACGCATCGCGGTCGGGCTTGGGGTCATGCAACACCTCGTGTTGCATGCGCTGGCAAGCCTCGTCAGCGCAGATCTGCTCAATCGAAGGGGCCGTGAGGCAATCGGCGAGCAACAGGAGACGCAAGCATGCGCACATATCCCCTTGTTGTCGCACAAGAGCCTGTGCCGCTGCGGCATCGCAAGCTTCTGCCACGTCCAGGAACTGCTTTATACCTTGAGCCCACTCCTCGGTAGTTCCTCCGGCACTGAACCTCTTGTTCGTCTGCAGCAGCTCCGAGACATCAACGACACAGTCGTGGGAGTCGCCAAATGGACCGTCCAGCAGCATCCGGAAGTAGTCAGACCTCTCCTTCAAACGTTCCTCGTGCTCCACGTCAAAAACTTCGTCATTGGACTCGGATGCAGACAGAGCGTCGGGGGTTTCGGGGGTCATCCGGTGATGCTGGCCACATCCTGGCCACGGCCTCCAGGGTGTCTTTGCGTGAGACGCCCGCAGCCGCCACCTCCTCGCAAAAGTGCAGGACACGCGACACGTCAGGAGAAGCCATGGCTGCAAGATGTCCTGGGAAGATCTGCAGCCACTGCTTGAGCCGCAAGGTCTGGCGAAACCTGAAGAACTCCATGACACCTCAGAACTGAACACGATGCCGAAGATTCCAAACAACGAACCATACATACAGACATACTTACATACGTATGTACAGATCCTAAGCCCCAGGCCAGAAACATCCAAACCCCTGACCCAAACCCTTAGAGCAGCCCTGGCGGATTTTTTCAAAATATTCAGGGTGCCCTTGTAGAACTCTTTTCGAACCAGCCCTGTTTAGATTCAGAGCATAAAGCTATAAATCCTAACCAAAAAATGAACAAAAGCACCCTGAAAAGCACCTTCTGAACCCCGAACCCGTACTAAACCTAAAATCCTGTAGCACCCTTGTAGCAACCCTTATGGCAATCCTGATGGAACCCTCAAAGCAATCGCACTTCGAGCCTAAACCCTAAACCCTAAACCCTAAACCCCGCACACCGAGCTTCCCGGCGGCCAGCACCGTGGGCTCCGGGAGGCCCTCCTGCGCTTCGTGCTCGAGGCTATACCTCGGCAATGGGTTTAGGGTTTAGGGTTTAGGGTTTAGGGTTTAGAGCTTAGGGCTTTTGCGGTTTAGGGTTTAGGGCTTAGGGCTCTTGCGGTTTAGGGCTTAGGGCTTAGGGCTCTTGCGGTTTAGGGTTTATGGCTTAGGGCTTTTGCGGTTTAGGGTTTAGGGCTTAGGGCTCTTGCGGTTTAGGGTTTAGGGCTTAGGGCTCTTGCGGTTTAGGGTTTAGGGTTTCGGGTTTAGGGCTCTTGCGGTTTAGGGTGTAGGGTGTCGCGTTTAGGACAGTTCTATGAAGACTCTTTCAGGGTCTAGGGCTCCAGCCGGGGTTCTCGACAGGTTGGGTCTAAATGGGGTTTGGGATTTCGGGCTCAAGGTCGAAAAGGATTAGGATCAAGGGCAGGGTGTAGGCTCGAAATAGGCTTTAGGATTTATAGGTTTAAGGTTCGTGTTCAGGGTCGGATCAGGGTTCAGGGCTTTGGGTTTACGGGGCTTGGGAGATCCTGTGATCTTAGGGCAAGGAGCTTGTGCTCGGAGGATCGGAAAGCCCAAACGGGCGTAGTAGGGGCTTCGGATCCCAGAGGAGGCGTGCAGATAGGATCCATAACCGAATATTCAGAAACGCTCGAACCCTAACCCCTGGGCCCCAAAAAGCCACCAGTGTGCATCTTGCCATTGGGCACCGATGCAACGCTTGAACAAACGGCTTCTGAGATCCTAGCAAAAACCCTATCCTAGCAAAAACCTTATGGAAAACACATCGAATCTATACCTTGTCAGGCCCGGAAATCCGGCTGCAGCTCGAAACCGTGAGCGGGACCGATTGATTCAATAAGGACCTTACACCCTGAAAGACAAGACATGACAGTTCATGACAGGAGACCCCTGCGCGAAGGTCTCCTGGCTGGCGTCCTCTGGGACCTCGCGGCTCTCAAGTTGGAATGCTGAGCTTTAACATCTAATGTAGGGGCCTTAATAGCATTATGATAAGGATCCCCCCCCCAAAAAAAATAGTGTTGGTAATTATTTAGGCCCCCCTATATTAGTCTAGGTTCTTTCGCCATCGGTTCTAGGTTCGAGGGTTAAGACTTAAGACGTACTCCGTCTTTGGGGTTAAAGTTGACCTTAGGGTTTCGGGAAAGTCTAGGGCTCAAGGACTCTTAGGGTTAGGCTTGGGTCTGGAATGATGTCCTAGCTTCAAGGATGAAGCGAGTCTGGGGGCATGAGACTTCGGGGTTTTAGAGTTGGGGCCGGGCATGGATCGGAGTGGTGCCGATCGGAACGGCACCCGAATGTGTGCTTTGCGTGACGGACCTCTCGCACCTTAAACCCCAAACCCTTTTTTTTGCATCAGGACTTGTGCAATCGCCTGAATGAACCCCAAGCCCAAACCCTAAAACCCCAACCCTCAGACCTAGCCCCTTTCTGCATCTGGGACTCCTTGACACCAGTTTAAACCGACATCCGATTCTCTGAAACCTAAGCCCAAAACCTTCAAAGATCCCAGAAACCTAAATTTTAAAAAAACCTAAAAGGGACCCTGCTTTCGGAAACGGCCTGAGGCCTAAAACCCTGAGACCCGCTCAGCTTCCGACCGGCACCCGGTGGACCCGGTAGCAGCCGGGCCCCGAGCGGGGGATGACGTCCTGCCGGCCACTGGCTGAAGGATTCCGGTTCTGGGCCTTGTTGGGGTGAAGGACTTCGGGTTGAGGGTTGAGGGTTTAGGGTTGAGGGTTGAGGGTTGCTAGGGTTGAGGGTTGAGGGTTGAGGGTTTAGGGTTGAGGGTTGAGGGTTTATAGGGTTTAGGGTATAGGGTTTAGGGTTGAGGGTTGAGGGTTTAGGGTTGAGGGTTATTTTTTAGGGTTTAGGGTTGAGGTTGTAAGGGTTTTTTGACACTCACACTCGGACAAGAGCCTGCCAAGGTCGGTAGGTTTCGACTCTCACACTCGCACAAGGCCGGCAAGGCTCCGCACAGTTCTGTCTGTAGGTTTAGGGTTTAGGGTGGATGATTGGAGTTTTGCTTGCCTCCTACCTAGCAAGGACGAGCCCGCATTGCAGGGTGATGTTCGGCTTTGACTGTGCAAGCAGACTACCGTTTAAGGTCTGCCAATCAGCTAGAAGCTCTTTCTCAGGACTTCCAGGAAAGTAAGACAAGGTTGACCGTATGCCGTGACACTTAAAACCACTCGACACGAGGCCCTCAGCATTCAGTCGAAACCTATACTCCAGCTCCACTGCCCATTTCGGTGGGTCTGGAATATAAGTCTTCTTCAACGCACAGATCAAGCCAGGACTTCATTCCAAGTTGCTCCAGCTTATGGCATGGACCCCTGTCGCATACACCGCACTGATGCTTTTTGGCAAAATGCCGCCTTGAACTTCACAGGTGTCTTCATGCAAATCCAGCAGTAGCTATGATTGGAGTTCTTGTTTCGGCTTTGGTGCCTTCGGTGTGACTCTGCCTGTAAATAATTACTGCTAATACTGCCGCTGTGCTATTCATCCCGACCTTGTCTCCTAGTCCTAGTTACCTAGTTTGCCACACTTTCGTTGTGTGCTAATGTCTTGGCCATAAATCACCACAAGCAGCTTGTGTCAGTGCCACAGCGTCTATTGATCGTCGCGCCTTCTTCGTAGCCTAGCCGCCTTAGAGGCTGCCTGGGCTGGTGGGGCTCCCACGACGCGGCTTGCTCAACGAGCTCAGCCAGCTCCAAATCCTAAACCCACAAACGCCCAAACATCCGAAACCCTGCATCCCCCTCTTCAGCATGTGCTTGGCTTGTGCATCCCCCTAAACCCTGAACCCTAAATCCCAAACCCGCGACTTGAACACTAAGTTTGCACCCGAACTGTTCTGATGCACATGGCCAAAGCTGTCAGGCCGTGGACCCCGGCGGAGGACCTCGTTCCAATCTTCCGTGGCATTCAGCTTTGAGTCTGTGAGTTGGGGTACTGGCTGGCAGGACACCGGGTGGCAGCAGTGTCGGAGACTTCAAGAGAACCGCGCAAAGGCAAAGCAACAGAATCTCACGGTCCTTCCGTTTGCTCTGTCAGGCTCCAGCTGAGAAGGCACCCTGGATTTGTTCGCAAACTTAGCTCGCCCTTCTGCTATTCGATGTCTCGAAAGCTACTGGAATCAGGATTCGTCAAGGTGCATGGTTCGGAAAGATACACAATCACATGATGCGTGGGTGGTTTACTGCGAGAATGGAGTGTTGAATGCGGGAATGCAAGAAGTGCACCACACAACCCTTCCAAAAATCCTTCGAATAAACGGCGTTAATTAGCAACAAGGAACCCCGTGCAATCAGAACAGTGATTATTCCGAGCCGGGCAATCCGAATGAGGATTCATGGGGTCTTGGGCTTCGGAGCCTAATGTAGGGGCCCTAATAATTAGAATAGGGTTTTGGGGCATATTATACTATATTTCTAATAAAGAACCCCCAAAACCCTATTCTAACTATTAAGGCCCCCACACTACTTAAAGGATCATGGGACTTAGTAAGTAGGGTTATAATTAAGGTAACTATACTTCTATTTACTTATAACCCCAATTAAGGGACTTATGACCTTACTTACTAAGTCCCATGATCCTCCAAGTAGAGGGCCCCAACTCTCAAAGCCAGGTCCTCATCCTTCTCATCCAGCGCCTGCGGATCGATTTGGGGGTTTCCGAAAACAGGGGGTACCTTATTTTGGGCTCCTTAGAATGAGGATCCTGCTATTTAGGGTGCTATATTAGGCTCCCCTAAACCCTAAACCCTAAACCCTAAACCCCAATTTCTTGGCAGGAGATCACAAGACCCGGTGAGAAGCTCAAGGCACGAGCCCCAGACCGTAACGTAGTGGCTCTTTTTTATAATTAGAATAGGGTTTGGGGCTCTTTTTATGGTATAAATGTGCCAAGGAACCCCAAGGAATAATGTAGGTAATTATTTAGGCCCCTATGTTCCACGCCACGCCCCGAACCAAAAGCTGACGAGATGCCCTAAACTTAAACCTCGTGAACAAGGCGTGGACGTGAGTATACTTCCAGTGCTCCAGCCCCCCGGTCGGGCCTCAGCCCGACATGGGAGTTTCTGAAAATTAGGGGTACCTTATTTTGGTGGTACTTTCTTAGGGCCCCCTGTTTTTGGAAACCCCCACATCCAGAATCCAGACCACCCATCCGAATTTGACAGGCTCAGCTTCGCCCCAGACGCTGCACCTCACCCTACACCGATGACCGCAATACCACTATGCCCAATGCCCCGGAGTGCAACCCTTAAACCACCGAATCGGTTCACGATTACGCAGTCGACACTGGACCGGAAATGTCGAAAGAAGGGAGTTCGGATCCAGGCCGCGTGTGCTTCATTGCTTTGGGAAACAAAGGTGGGCCCGTGATGAACTGCTTCAGGGGTCCTCAAGGCATTTTGCGGCTGACGAGGGTCCAAAACTCTCAGCTTCAAACATGACAAGCCGTTCATAGGAAAGGCCTCTGCCTTTTAACAAAGCCTACAGCCAAGCTTCCTGCCACGAAAGGAACTTGTTAAGACTTGAAGCACCAAAAAACACCTGCTAAAGCATTGTAGACGTACCATGCAGTTTTGCATGTGGGTGCATACAGATAGATAAGACAGATAAATAGATAGATAGATAAATAGATAGATAGATAAATAGGTAGACAGGCATGTATAACTGTGTGTGGATGTGTGTGTACATACAATATGTATGTATGTATGCATGTATGCATGTATGTATGTGTATGTGTATGTTGGTGTGTATATACGTATGTGCGTATGTATGTATGTATGTATGTATGTATGTATGTACGTACGTACGTATGTACGTATGTATGTATGCATGTTTGTATGCATGTGAATGTGTATGTGTGTGTGCATGTATGTACGCATGTATGTATGTAAGTATGCATGTTTTGTGTGTGTGTGTGCATGTATGTACGCATGTATGTATGTATGTATGCATGTATGTCTGTATGTAGATGTAAATGAAGAAGAAAAACGTAGATGTGTAGGTAGGTAGGTAGGTAGGTAGGTAGGTAGGTAGGTAGGTAGGTAGGTA